AAAACTAGTGTTTCCGACACAATAAAAAGTCTGTGGAACTAGTTGCATGCAGCAATTGGTTCATTTTTACAACAGGCAATAAATGTGTTAATTCAATCAGCATTAGCTGAACAATCAAGTATGAATTAGTGTTAAAATGAGAACTAATTGAAGTATGTGTGTAATGTATTATCTTGACAAAATTAATAATGAAGTACAAAATATAGTATATTTTTTTCTTCTAAAGGCTTATTTATATTTCAACTTTTAAATTGTGCCCAATGGATCTCAGATTCGAAGCAATTCGTGAAGCATTATTCTCCTAATCTATTGTGGCCAGCCCATGTATCCTGTATAAAACGACCTATTCTATCACCCACTAAAGTTTTCATCCATCACACTAATAATTAAAAATTTATAAACCTCGTACATGTCCTATCTTACTCTTTCTCACATAGACGAATAATGTTTCGGAACCTTGCAGAACGGCTGTTTTCAGAAACAGAAGAGCCTAAATACAAAGTCGTAAACAAATTTACAGAGAAAGGAAAGGTATCTACCACTTTTATAGTAAAAAAATTGTAAAATGTAAACATTCATACATTGCACACACGCATATATATATAACAATCAGGGCATATTTAAAAATGCGAGGTTAGATTTTAATTTGTTTTTTCATTCTACAATTAATTATTATAATGACGAATCCATGAAATTGAAATAGATTTCATTTGCCCAGGAATGGACAAATGAAAGGTCTCGGCCCCACCATGGTTGGGCTGAGGTAAGAACATTTATGAGTATGCCAGCCAGACTTTTATGGAGGCTCGAAGGAACCGGCTGCCCGCTTTTGAATTCGCCATGGCCACTGTGTTACATCTATAGGCACACCCTTAACGATTCAGATTAGACAAATCTGTAGATTATTTATTCAATGAAAAGGTAATGGTTGAATGCGCCCTCACTGTCCGATTGTCTTTTCGACGCAATCTTTACTATCAAAGCGATTAATTTGGGAAAAAATGAATACTTCAGGAAGCAGCGGAAGTTGCACGTCCGTTTTGTATGTTTTCCAACTTTTAAATTTAAAAGACCAGGGATTAATTGTAAAAAAAGCGCAATAAGTACTGTCCTAATAATTTATGTATTTATCAATTTTAGTAAGGGCTAATCCAAATACAGGAATATTTGAGTATTAGCGATGTACTTCTTATTTTTTACAGGAATACGAAGAACGTCAATACGAATCATGTAGATGGATTGTTACTAAGGTAACAGGTAAAAACTATAAAGATTCTTCGGGCGAAGGTTTCATCAGACTCTTCAAGTATATCAGTGGAGAAAATAAAGAAGGTTAGTTAATAGAATTATATACCGTATAGTCACACTGATTTGGAACTTTTTAGTAATAGACCTACACACTTAAACTGCTGATTTAAGAACTTGTATCAACCTTTTTATTTTTTTTTAAATAGTAATATAGTGGCAACATTCATTTGCAGGAAACAGGATTTCAATGACAGCTCCCGTTGTTATATACTGTCAGCCGGCAAACGAAGACTGGAAGGAGTGTGCAGATGAACTGATGGTCGGCTTCTTTGTGCCACAGAGCACCAAACAGCTTCCGACTTCGAAAACTGACAACATTACTTTCAGAGATTCTCCTGCCCATACTGTCTTTGTCAGGTAGGTCTACACCAGTGTAGGCAAATATAGACATACTGCTCACAAAATGTAATCCTCATGATACGCCCTTTTCACGAATCGGTATACATGTTCAACTGATGACGGGCAGCCGAAAGTAGTGGTTTGCAACCAACAAAAATACGATACCGGTAAGCTTCGAGGCGAAATTCTTGACAACGCTATTTGAAAATCATAATATAGTAGTGTAGAATTGTCTTTAAGAATCTTTAATAGCCTACGACTCTGTTATGGAGTTAAGAATGTTTAAATAACACGAGGTTAAGAATTCAGCTAATCTTATTTTATTTTTGTTGGTTACGCATCGCTGACTAGGGCTGTTTGTCATCACTTTAACTTCAACATGTCTACCGATTCGTGGAAAAGTTTATTTATATTCAACAAATATATTTTAAAAAAAATCCAATGAAATGTATTACAGGGATTCGATATGGACCAACCCACCTACAACAAGAAAAACTTGTCTCATCTAACCCTGGAACCGGTTCCAGAAAGTCAAAAAATGGCTATAAGAAGCATAAGCAGATTCCCAATCAATAAACCAAAAGTGACCGAAGCTAAAGGTGGTCTAAAACACAACACAACACGAATTGTGGTTTCTCTCCCCCAACCCCAGCTGGCGCCACTCCTAATATCATGGTAATTCAGTGATTGAGAGCGAAATTTGTTTATGCATTTCGCGGTAATTTTTCGTTTAAATTAGCTGCAGCTGCTTTGAAAGGCTTACGCAAAAGTAACTTGCGTTTGTATAGTTTAGTCACCAGTGCAATAATACTCTTTAAATGGTCCTCATATTCACACCCTACTCCGGACAGTCACCAAAGTGTAATAATTTCTTCATTGGACCATGACAAACTAATCTAGAAAGTTTTATTTAGATCCATTGATAGATTTTTGGAAATATTTCGCTCTCTGGATCGTCACCAAAATTGATTAATATCTTTATATAACTTGGTTAAACTTTTTAAGAAGGTTTAATTCAAATCAGTCAATAAGTTTTAGGGAACATCTAGTCTGGGATGTTTTCATTCAAATAGTCTACATCCTACTTCGGATCGGTACCAATTTTTTTTTTTTTTTTTGTAATTTGACCATGGTAAACCATACCAGAACAATAGGCGAGAGTGCCGTTTGAAGCAGCACCGATATTAAATCTGTAGGTTGCGGCGCCCCTGCCTTTAACCGCTCGGCCATTCAACTCGTCACAAATTAAATGATGTTTTCCTTTCTTCAGAAAGTTTCATTCAAATCAGTAAAATTAGTAGGCCTATTTGGTATATCTGGCCCCGGACATTTCCCTTTGGATGGTCCTCATATCCACACCTACTCCGGATCGGCACTAAAATTTATTAATTTCTTCATTGCACCATGATAATTATTTTGGAAAGTGTCATTTAGGTCCGTTTAACACATGTTTGAGATATTAAGGTCTGGTTAAATGATCCTCAAATTCACACCCGGATTTAGATCGTCACCAAAATTTTATAATTTGAGGAGTCTCATAATAATTATTAGCGAGTGAGTTTAATGTTAAAAGATCGGTGGTTGGTTGGTACTTTGAAACATTGGTCTCGATTTAAAGGGCTCGGTTCTCGGAATTAGAGGAGTCTCAAACTGTATAGTTGGTCATACCTGTACAATATTTCGTTAGTTCTCTCTTGAATTGTGTAAAATTGTTGATTTCCATAATAACTTTGAAGCTTGTTTCATTGAATGGAACCTTGATAAAAACGAGTTTTAATAAGTCATGAAAATGGTATATAATTCCGACTATGGTATCTTTTACATTTATTATTTTTTACTTATTTATTCAAAATACAAACAAAATGTGCCTGGTCGCCAATTTTCGGTGTTATATCTATCGCGCCTTTATTTCCACTACAACGCTTCTCCAACATTTACCATTTTTGGTGCAAATCAATATTTTCGTAAAATCTATATAAATAAATAATATACTTATAATTATACAATTTGTGATTGTTTGGTATCAGCACATCTTATATCCTAGTTACGTCCACACTTAAATCTATAGGTTGTTCGAAGTGTTGGTTCCACTAATCATTGCTAATAATAATTATTCAACTTATTTATTGTAATGTAATGTATTTCTTGTTTTTTGTCAGTAGGACAATGTTATAACATACAATAGGTACATTACCCTGAGTTACACATTTAAACTTCACAGAACGTTCAATGGCTTTGCAAAAGAAGAGGATTATATGGCCAATGCTAAAATCTTAAAGAGCGCCATCAACGATAGCAGTTGTTACCGTAGTGATTTTTTCTATGCGTGTGGATATGATAGTCCCATGAAACTCGTCAACAGACGAAACGAGGTCTGGCTTCTGAAGAAATAACAAGATATACGTAAATTTCACAACTATGTTTATTTTAAAGGCCGAACTAATGAAAGAGAGTAATTCGCATATTCTTTTTAATTATAATCGTCGTAATCATAATTGCCAAATTAATATAATATTGATTGAATATTAGCATTAATGATTAATATCAATAAAAATTATAATTCTTCATTAGTATCATCATTATTTATAGGTAATATTTTGTACAGTTTCATCATCACAGAACAATTACCTATAGTTTCAGAAAGGTTATTGTCGTATTTGTTTATAAGCTCATCTCCTAATACAAAATAGGTTCATTTTTTGGGATGCATTTACATACAAACATACAGTATGATATGCAAACAATATTGAATGTGTATCACTTGCATGTATAGCAAAGGTCCAACACAGACTCCAACCCGAGCAAACTCACACAGTATATACATTTTGTCCTAAAATTTCTTATAGGCCTACACGGTAATAACTTTGTGCATACATTTTTTTTTTATAGATTTGTAAGGTTAAGCCAGGGTGAAAACCCTACATGGCAAAACTGTACCGTAAAATGCCAATAAAATTCCAACGATTTTGGATATTATGTTGTTCTATGAATGACACGCTTCCAGGACCAATATTTCTTCTATGCCTTTTTT